TAATTGATGTATTTTAGTGAATGATTCTTATAAGCGGCAAGGTAAGACTTGGTTACGGGACCATTATAGAATGTATTTTGGGATCTTAAAAAAAATATAACATTTACAGACTAAATATGAACATAAATTTAAACGACTAGTGTTTGTTACTTTTATGGACCCTAAAATGAAAAACTTGAAACTTGTTCCCCACTAGTTCTCACTGTAACGCCTACGGTAATAGCTTCTTGCTTATAGAGAAATTCACTACATTTTTGATGTTAAATACCAACAACAAAACAACAAATTTCAACCTTTATGGCCTTTATAGAAACGTTTATAGATTTTAAACCTAGTCAGTTCAGTATATGACACCGACATTTTGGTTTTAATTAATTTAAAATCTTGTGTAGGTTGGTTGATATGAGAAATACTTACTAAATTTTCGAACGACATTTTCACATGATTTCTCTTCATCTCCCTTATTTACACAAAATATTTTTTCTTTTATGATATTTTATATTTCAATCTCGAATTTTGAAATCTTCTACTTATTATATTTAAATGAATAATTTTTAGGCCAACCTTTTTCTAATTAAATCACAAATCTTATCTTTCCATCCGTAATTAACTTAATCTCTATGAAATAACCCTTTATATGTGTATTTGATCCTTGGACCGTGATTAAAGGGACATACTGTAAGATTTATTAAATGGGGCTACAGCGTAAATGACATCACTTTATAATGTAAAGTAATAGTTTTCGAATTAAATAATGACGTAGAAGAGATTAAATGATCAATACCAGCTGAACCCGGCAGACGTTGTCTTGCCTTTTGCTATTTATATAATTAAAGTACCGAGTAATAAAACCCAAATTATTTCCAGGAATATTACGAAAATGTGTATGTTATTAAAAAAAGCAAAAAAATATTCATTAGCAGAAAGAAACTTACCATTAATTTACATAGCATGTTTTAAATTTTACTTTCATATGTTTTGTAGTAAACAAATATAACTAAAACCCTTTCAAAATCCTTGACAGGGGTGATGCACCCTGTTGGTAAACCTATTAAATTTTTAATTCTATTGAACATCACACAATCAAATTGTTTAGTTGAAACAGGTGTTAAGATTCTTTAATTATTTATTTTAAAAAAGTATGCAATATTTATCTAATTGTACCTGATACAGTATTTATGGTAAGAATGCGGCTAGCAGGACCTATTCACTGAAAAGGTTATATTATTTAACGAAGTTTTACAAACACGTAATTACATGAAATCAGCTGATTATACAATTAGTCGTTGCTTCACTTTCAATGGCAATGACAATAAAATAAAACTCTTTAAGAAGTTATGAGTAGTTAAGGTATTGATTGTTTGTAATAAAAACCAGATTGTAAAAAAAAACGGTCGTAGGTGAAGTAGTGTACGCAACTCACGTGTTAATAGTCTTTACGACACTCGTAGAATTTTTTAAGTTTTTAAATTTTCTACTCGTGTCGTTAAGACTAACTTAACGCAACCGTTGCGTAAACTACTAGTTCTTCATAAGAATAACATGGGGACTTTAAAAGCCACTGGGTCAGAGACCAAGGGCATTTTCAAATGTGTAAGGCCAGTTTGCAAATCTACGTGGCACGCTCTTTCAAATGAGACGTTAATGGTCGAAATAGGCTAAGAATTGGCGGAGGAGTTCAAAAGACAAATTTCCTGTTGGCGTATTAATTATATAGATGTACTAGCTGAGTACCCGTCCTTCGTACGGGGTTGGCATATAAGTATAAAAAATGCTTATTGCAGTTATACTTAAAGCTTTGCGTTTGAATTGTGGGAGGGCACAGTTTGATAAAATTTGCTTCTTTAAATTTACATTACTCTATAGTTACACATATATCATAGCTATAACGTTCTACCACTTCACCTAAACAATAGAGAAAAATAAATATTATAACTTTTTAATGCTTTTGCGTATCATAGAACCAACTTTTTTTTAATTCCATTTAATTATGAATACTCATAAGGTTAACATGGGGAACTGCAGAGCCACTGGGGCGGAGCCCGAAAGGATTTTTGAGATAAGAATATGTCTATATGTTAATCGGGAATGTGAGCTATCATCTTGCCAAATTTCAGCCCAATCCATCCAGTAGTTAATGCTTGATTGAACTTCAAACAAACAAACAAACACACAAACTTTCACATTTTTTAATATTAGTAAGATTATAGATAGATATAAGAAGATAAACATAACATGTACTAACAATAAGTAATCGTGGAATAGATATGAAAATTCAATAATTATTTCCCGTGGCCAAGCAAGTGTATTTGTACAATTACTACTATAGGTGAAGGAGAAAACGGCCTCATTAGTCAGCCCGCAATACAGCACTGCTTTGGTAAAGTATCCTACATTTTGCAGGCGTAGTTACGAGTGAAGTAGTCTCCAGTTGTCCGCCGCACCTTTTGGTTAGGTCGGCAGAACCAAACTATGCGACTCGGAGGCAGGTGGGAGGGATTGTTGGTCTCGTGCCCCGCCGGCCGCAGACCTTGCGGAAACTAGCGCGGGGGATATTGACAGCGGTGGTCCTAGGTATGACTCCAGCTGTTGTACTGTTGTATTTTGTCACTTCACGTTAAATGTTATATTAAAAAGTTCATTTCTGTGTAAAAATTGGTTATGTTTCTTCACCAATTTATTTGTTTTATGGTAACTGTAGGAAAAGTATAATGTGCAACTCGAGTTCAAAGTACAATTGCCTCACTCGAGAAACCATTCCTCACTCTCCTACGGCTCGTGAGTAAGGATTTCTCTCGAGTAAGTCAATTGCTCACTTTTCTCACTAGTTGCACAATAGTTATTTGTGCACAATAGTTATTTGTGCAACTAGTGAGAAAAGTGAGCAATTGACTCACTCGAGAGAAATCCTTACTCACGAGCCGTAGGCTATTCGCTTTCCACACCACGAATAATTATACATTTTTGTTCTGTTGTTTGCAACTGAGGATCAGTTATCAATGCAAAATTTGAAACCCGATTCCATCTATAGATTAATTACCCCCCCCCCCCCTTGAAATTATCTTTTTATTAACAGAATACTGATATTATAAAATATAAGATTACGGTAGAGGAAGGTTATCTAAGCTAGTTTTAATACTAAAAAATACTTCAGATACCTACTTAGGAACATTATGTACAACATTTCCAAACCCTTATAACCAGTGCCATGATATATGATGCAAATATTGTTGGTGTTTCAGTGGTAAAATAAAAAGAGAGCTGTTTGTTTGGATGAATCTGACCGGATAGATTAGTATGTTTAATCTATGACTGAACTAAACTGACTGGACTTTAAGTTGGATGGAGTTTGAAGTTGAATTGAAACGAAACTGAAAGTGAGACTAGTGAGAGTGAGATGAGATAAGGAATTTGTTTTTGTTGTTTAAAGTTTAAACCATTGACTATATATACCTACAGGTTTAAACCAAACGAGTTTGTTTTGTTTGATTTAAAATTATGAGTTTGGTTTGGATAACCTAGAAATTGTAAACTAGGTTTAGATAGTATCTTCTTATTAGTTCTTAGTATTTCAAGTGCCTGAGGGATAAATTTGTCGTAATAGGTAAATTATCTATATACACTGTATTCTAAATGTTTTCAATGGACTGACACACTAGAGCCTAGGCTCTATGATGGGGAGGAATGTCTACAAACAAAAAGATGGTCTAAGGCCTCAAGCACAGACAATATAATACTTTAATGTTAAAGTATTTATTATAAGGTTTATTCCATTGTCTGTGCCTCAAGGGTTTGGCATCTGATAGGAATCTCACTAACGTAACTAAATTAAAGAAAATTCTAGTGTTCCTGTTTAGGCTTTTACTTTTAGGCCCACTAAGTTACCTAGACGGTAAAAATTTGGTAATGTCCATTGACCACCATGATAAAGGATAGTCAAACTAAAGATAAGTAAGAAACAGAGGATACATTCAATGGTACTTAGTTTTAAGTAGGCCTAGTGTCTAGCACAATTGCTGGTGTCCAAAGCAAATTTTATTGGTTGTTCCATTCTGCTCTACTTTGTCCCCTTGCCATCACACACAACAGCACTCTAGCCTAATGAAGATGTGTGCTACGGTACAAATGCTGTAAGGTAGAAATATGCTATGTGGCCCGCCTTTTGGGCTCTTCCTGGTTCGGTACATTTCTGCCCCCAAAGCACAAGGTTGTCCACTCTTGCTTGTATCCTCTGTATCTTACTTCTCTGTGGCCAACACAATCCCTTAGTCTCAAAGAAGAAAGGCTATGACAATTTATAAGTTTGAGTCCATTTCAAGTACCTAGTCCTAGTTACCTAGGTTTACTATTGGCCTAGACCTACCTAGGTTTCAGTTAGGGCCTACTTTTGGCCTAGCCTTGCCAAAATATAAATAAGCCAATAAAATTAAGAGTCTATTAAGTGAGGGCTTTTTGAAAGATCTTAAGTTACTGCAGAACAAGTGTAAGGCACATTTACACTGGAGTTTTGTTTTAAGAAATGTTATCTAAGTTACTTTTAAACTTGCGTTATTAACATTTTGTTTTGACTTGTAACTTGTTTAATTCATTAACATTTTACTACTTAAACATCCAAGCTTCCACGTCAGCTCCCACGACAATGCCAAGTGTGAGCACTGAGCAGGATTTGTTTCTTGCTGATGCTGCCTGTTTGATTTTGGCGAAGCTGAGGAAACCAAGAATATTTTAGGTTAAGCCTTCTCGTAAGGCAAGAACTATAAGTGGAAGTAGCATGTTGCAAGATTTAAATTATAGTTAGCGGCAAGTGGGATGTACAATAAGCTACGTTCTAGTTCTAGGACCATTAGTCCACCCCTCTTATAATACAATATTGTAAGTTACTATCGAATTTTAAACATACGTATGGCCTAATGTTCTAGTGTAAGTTTAGACCAAGTTCTAAATGCTTGTGGCCTATCCTGATTAAACTTCAGTGTCAATTTCTGAAGGAAATACACGCTATTGCATTTTTTCACCGCCTTTCTATTTGACCCTCAGGTGAAAGGAATAGATTTTCCTAAATAAAAATGTTAAGATTTAACAAAACAATAATTTTCACTTCACTGCATAAAATTCAACTGTTAATTTTACATAGGCTTGCCTTCATTATAGACGAGCAGCCAAGGGTACAAAATAAAGGTAGACCTACAGATTCTTTGATTTTGATATCTTATCTATTTCCCTCTGCCTAACATAATCAACTTAACTTGGTTTTCAGATTGATCGTTATGAAGAATGACAGTGAAACAGTGGATAAACTTTCATCATCACCCAAATTTGCAAAGACAGCCCGAGAGTGGATCCTTGCTTCAGCATTATACGATGGAATCGAAGATGAGGACATAAGGTTTCAGTACAATTATTTACTTGACAAATTAAGGTTTTAAGTTAAATATAAGTTGGCTTATTTACTTTCATTTCGTTACCATCCTTAATTAATCATTTCATTCATTTTTAATGTCAGGTTTTTAGTTAATCATTAGTGAGTTGGTAGCGTCACAGACTTCGGGCCCAAGGCAGCTATGTCGTGGGTTCGGATCCTGGTCACTGCCGAAAACATTTTATCAGTTCACATCACCTCAGTACTGTACTGGCTCACTTCTTGCTTTGCTGTATACGATCCACAGACGGGCGGTTATTCTACGTGTACGGGCAAATGCAAGGTTAAAAGAGGTCCCCAACCTTGATTTATTGTAAAGAGGCTTAAGGACTCTAGCCTATTGATCAATGGACTCATTTTGCTATTGAAATTGAAGCTAGTATTAGGCCTACTAAAATTTATATTGCTTTTAAAGACAAATTGAGATGCTAGTCTCGGAGAGAGGTGCCAACCCAAATGTTCTACTACCCGAGTACGGGATCTCTCCGTTTCACCTAGTGGTGGCTAATGAGAGCACGACATTTGCTGTAAGAGCCACGGACCTTTGCCTTCAACATGGTGCGGACCCTAATGTCAGGTAGTGTTATTTTCTCTTGCAATTAGTCTGTACCACTAAATATTAATGTTGATAGGCGATAGTAACGATACTATGGTTTGGACTGTTCCCTTAAAACATCAGGAAACCCTAAAGGCGTAGACATGGATCCATAAAATAGGCCTGAAAATACAACGTTTAAAAATAAGTGCAGTGGAACCTCTTTAATCCAAACCCCCGTAATCCGAACATCCACTAATCCGAACCCCTCATTGCTGTACTCTATACACAGGACAGCAGTTCTTTACTGTATACTGTATTTCATTTACAGTACTGTTTATTCACCATGTTTACTACTGTATTAAATAAACACTGTATTTTACTTTATAAAACATTTTTTCACTTTTCCCAAAATAATGTTGAACAATTTTAGCCATGTTTTAGCTATTGTTATGTAAAAAAACAACAATATGTTCTGTAATCCGAACTATTCAATAGTCCGAACTACCCCTGGTCCTAATTATTTCGGATTAAAGAGGTTCTACTGTAAATTAATTCTGTATTGTTAGAGGTAGATATACTAATACTAGCTGTAACCCGCGGGCTTTGCCCCGTTTCACTTCTTAATTTTCAAGATGATCTCGTTCGCATGGCTCAATCATGTCCTGGTTGAAGTTCGTTCGCTACGCTCACTCACCTTTAGGTTGGAGCTCGTTCGCTACGCTCACTCATCTTTAGGTTGGAGCTCGTTCGCTGCGCTCACTTGCCTTCAGGTTAGCTCGTTCGCTACGCTCACTTGCCTCGAGGTTGAAGTTCGTTCGCTACGCTCACTCACCTTTTGGTTACAAATTAGCTGTTGTCATAAATGTAAAAGAAATAATGGTGCTGCACCCTGTTGGTAATCCTTGTAACTTTAATGCTATTGAACATCATAGAACAGAACCAACTTGTTTAATTGAAACAGCTGTTAAGATTCATTAATTCCATTTAAATATAAGTACTCATAAGATTAACATGGGAAATTCCAGAGCCACTGGGGCGGAGCCCGAGAGTCCGATCAGAATAAAAACCACTTAGTTTTCCTATTTAATGCCTAAAGAATCAGTGTACCAAATTTCAGCCTCCTAGGTAAATGGGAAGTGGGAGAATTAGTGATGAGTGAGTGAGTGAGTGAGTGAGTCAGTCAGTGAGGGCTTTGCCTTTTATATATATAGATATTACTAGCTGTAACCCGCGGGCTTTGCCCCGTTTAACTTCTTAATTTTCAAGATTATCTCGTTCGCATGGCTCAATCACGTCCTGGTTGAAGTTTGTTCGCTAGGCTCACTCACCTTTAGGTTGGAGCTTGCTCGCTACGCTCACTCACCTTTAGGTTGGAGCTCGTTCGCTGCGCTCACCTGCCTTCAGGTTAGCTCGTTCGCTACGCTAACTCGCCTCCAGGTTGAAGTTCGTTCGCTACGCTCACTCACCTTTTGGTTGCAAATTAGCTGTTGTCATAAATGTAAAAGAAATAATAGTGCTGCACCCTGTTGGTAATCCTTGTAACTTTAATGCTATTGAACATCATAGAACAGAACCAACTTGTTTAATTGAAACAGCTGTTAAGATTCAATAATTCCATTTCTCATAAGGTTAACATGGGAAACTCCAGAGCCACTGGGGCGGAGCCCGAAAGGATTTTTGAAATGAGAATATGCCTATATGTTAATCGGGAATGTGAGCTATCATCATGCCAAATTTCAGCCCAATCCGACCAGTATTTTTCGCGTTCACTTGTCACAAACATACATCCATACATCCATACATCCATACATCCAAACTTTCTCATTTATAATATTAGTAGGATTTCAATATCTTAAACCATAGTGTTTTTTAGCCTAAAAAAGTATATATAAAAACTAAATATGCTGTTAAATGTTGTATGGCCTAATCAAATCATTGGATCATGTGAAGAAACAGGTTAAAAATTTAGGATAAGTATTCTTTAGAAGTATTTGCTCATTTATACAGAATTTTATCTTTTTAAATTCAATTTTACAATAAATATGTACCAGAAATAAATTGTTTTGGATTTCAAATTGCCACTTCACCTAGTAAGAAAATGGTGAGGATATATAGGCAAAACAAAACTGATTTTTTCTGTAATTTTCTTATGTTTTTGTAACAATTCTTTGTACCATTAAGTAGCAACAAACATTTTAGTAGGCAATACAAATTATAATTATAATAAAATGATATAACACATACCATATTATACAAAAATGGACTGTAAAAGTTAAGTTTTTGATTCCATTATGACATTAATAAAGCTTTTTTATGATTTAGATCAGAAGACGGGTTGACACCAGTCCATCTGGCAGCTATGTGGGGATGTGTGGAAGTGTTACATCTGCTATTGGCTAGCGGAGGCAACCCTTGGCTAGTGGACGACCTCGGACTAAACGCCTTCCACTACGCAATACAAGAGAAACAACACAAGTGCTACCAACTGCTCAAAACTCTATGTAACTCTCAGCCTAAACAGTCCGGATGTCAAAAGTCACCGTACCATTTGAATCTCAGTGAGTAAAACAATTGACCATGAATAGATTTGATTTTGTTTTTGATAGGAACAGCAAGTTAACCTGTAGGCCTACAGTGGCAAATCTTCTTAATAGGAAATATATGTAAACATACACAAAATTAAAATATTTATTTTCATTGCCCAATTAGTCAATCACAAAAAAAGGATGAATGATAGATATGGTGCAAAAGTCAATGTTAACTTCTTCAAATGTACAAGTTATAAACAGGTAATACAACCTAACTTACTTCTGCTTGGGATTAAATATTGAAATTGTATTCCAGAGCGAGTAATTCTCTACAAAAATGATCTACAGATTGTGTACGAAGCTTCACCTTCAAGCGCTCAGAAATCTACGTCAACTCAGACCTCACCCAATGCTCCAAGACAGGCTTCAATTGAGGCATGTTAAAAAAACTATTTTGAACTAGGCTAATAATTTTAGAGCTTATTTTTGGATTGAATAAGATTTTTTCTGTTACTATGGTGGACTTTTTCTTACTAAGATGGAAAGGAAGTCATTGAGTAACAATTTTCCTACCTCTCTTACAATGCAGTTTTATAAATCATTTTTAAGTTTGAGAGTTTTAGTTTTAGTTTCAATTGGTAATACTTTTTTGAACACAAATATCCATTTTCTGTAACCACTTTTTAGTTTTTAATTGCTCAGCTACTGCAGTGTTAAATAAAACATGTAATTTAACAATTTCTCTTAGATTAATTTAAAATCTTCCTGTAAACAAAACATACTATTTACTACTTACCATATTATTTAAATTTGTAGACACAATCAACATTCTTTTTGATAGTTTACGTCTAAATGGCCTGATTTTTTTCAGGGAATCACAAATGGTCTGAAAGAAAAGAACTGCTCTTCCAAAACAGAGTTCGTTGAAAAAGATGGAATTTTCCAACATCATGATTCACCTGTTACCTCAAAGCTCAAATCAATAATTGAAACTCACAGAAGAAACTCGACACTTTTTGAATATTCACCTTCCAATGAGAGAAAAAGCAGTTTGAGCAGCGGAGTGGACTCATGGAAGTGTACGGATCAAAGTGACGTAGTCATGACCTGTTATTCTGAACTGGTCAGTAAATTGAACGAAAGCAACAGAATAAGACAATCACTAAAAGAGAGTGATGGTAATGACTTGTTGAAAAAAATAACCCAACGTAAAGTTCCATGTGCAACTCCTAAACCTTATACAGCTCCACCTCGGACTTCTAACTCCACTTGCGACTCATCTTTCTGTGACAAATCCAACCAGTACGATGTGCCCCAAAATGAAATAGCTTTTGTACAGGATAGTACGAAAGCAAACTCTACTTTGGATGATGGAAATTCTCAGTTGAACGAGTCTTCTCCTAGTATAGGATTCATACTAGACAACTTAAGTGATTTGTGCAATCAAGACAACAGTTTGTTTTCTGACATTGCTTCCGACATTGACGCATTCACAACTCCTGTACAAAATGATGTAGAGAACATGACGGAAGATGAAGTGATTGTTATAAGTTCAACTGAGAATACTTTAAATGACTCGGTTTACCCTTTTGTATCCTGTGAAAACACGGCGGCAAGAGAATCAAACGAAGAGTTTGTTACCTGTAGAAATTCAGAGTCTTTTTTAGAGGGAATCAAAAACAAACAGGAACCACCAGCAATTGTGGATGCCTTAAACAATTATTTTGAAAAAAATCCGAGATCTTCGACAAATTCAGAAGTGTTTAAAACAAGCACACCAGAGAAACCAGGTTAGTAGTTTAAATATTGATTGGGTAAGAATTAAGGCTTAGATAAGTCTGCCAGGTACTATTGGCAATTTATGATACTCCTAAACTACAATGGCAAAGTTATGACATAAATCTACCTTCTGTCTGTAATATTTTTCTTGCATTGTTATATCTAAACCTCAATTGATCTTGCCAGGAAATCTATTCAATGCATTGTTTGTGACTGACTACTCATATGCCATGTCATCATCCATTACATATTGTATTTATTTAGGATATAAAGCCATTTTGAAACAACATTATACCAGGGACATATTTCCGAATAGGCGGACTAGGCGCCCGCCTAGGGCGGCAAATTTTAGGGGTGGCAATATTTTTAGGGTAAAAAAATATAAAAAACGAAGTTTTAATCTAAAAAAAAATAGCAAATAATTTTGGGAACGGCAAAATAGCCATTTCAAATATTTTGATTAAGTATACAACTATTTCAGAACGCATCCAAGTCAAACAAACGTCAATAGTTTATTACACAGCTGTGTAGAGTTGTCCGTGCGTTCAAAATGTTGTTATGCCCTATTGGTCTGGCGGACACGCTCGCCGCGGGAGCGGGTCGCCGTGCCAGCCGCTATGTAGTGACAAACGTAGAAAACACTCCCTTCTGTTGACTTCATACACCACTACGCAGCGGCAGCTCTACAGCTGAAAGATTCTTTTGCTAGGTTAAAATCAAGAAGGAAAGTGTGAACTAAATACTTCCCACTGTACCAAACTTAACTAATTTAAAATTGTATATTATTCTTTCAGTATTAGTACGTAATTTTTCTTTGCGATTCATGTGCTTTTGGAAGAAATAAAAAGTATAAGAAAACATATTTCTTTAATTTCAAATCAAAGCCAATAGCACGTCTCTCAAGTGGATCTGACTAATAGTGTTCAATGAAAAGCGTTATAAGAACCATTGTATACAGACGATTTTGTGTGCCGTTTCAAGCCACAAAATGGGATTGTAAAAATACTGATTAGATAAAAAAAGTTGCATTCCGTGTAGGCCTATCCAAGTCAGAATGTTTTGCAAAAAAAAGGCACTAAAAAGTCCGTTAAAAGGGGTCGAAATAGTATATTTCGTACCTAGGGCCGAAAATGAGGTTTCGTCGGCTCGAGATAGTTTTTAGGTTCGAGACGAAGTCAACTTAAAACGATCGAGATCTGCAAAACCATTTCGGTCCGTGGTACGAACGCTATTTTCCACCACACTATACCTAAATTGCACCTTAATTCACCACAATAAAGATGCACACTGATAGTCAACATAACTAGAACTTTAAGGTTATGTGAAGAAATAATTTGAGGAATCAGCAAAAGTTAAAATAAATAGTTGCTAGGCAGCGGTGAAAATAAAACAATTCTATTGCAATCCTATGGATACTGATTGTGTATTTAATATGCATTCATGTTTTAAAAAGTAAGCGATCAGCTGATTTTGCTGCCCTAGGGATGTAAGAACCTGCTCGGTCCCCAAATGACGATGACTTTAAATCGTCATTTGGACTTTAAATCGTAACTTTCAGCCACCAATTAGAATTAACGCATGTAAAACAGCTAAAAACATCATAGTGTGGTGAAAAGTTATTAAATTTGTTGATGCAGCATGCAATATTACCAATTATTTTTCCACAAAACCAGCTGACAGGGCATGTATTGGCCATTGGGGTGATATTAGTAAGGTCGGGTAGTGCGTTGAAAAGTGGGAGCAGGAGGGGCGGCGGCAAACTTTGTTGCCTAGAGGCGGCAGATACTTAAATACGTCTCTGCATTATACGTTAGATGTCTGTAAAAAAAAAAACGATTTAAACAATTTATAAATATGATTTTCCGTGAATAGTGTCTCCATCAAGCTCTTGCCGCAGCCAAGAGAGCTAGTTCATATCTGAGTCCAACGTCATGATCCTTACTTCATCCACGAGTCACACTACTATTTTACTATTCTTTTCCCACCCTCATGGTATGATTAGTCTCGTCATAGTGTTAAACAATTTTTGTTATAGAAAATTGACCCTCTCGCCAAGGGGTTTTATGACGGGTTTTATGTTTTAAGCGCACTTAAGGCCTTAAAACAACGCAACTGCACTCAATTTGCACTCCACTGATTGCACAATAGATGCAACCGTAGTTGTAAAACAGTCACACCGTGTGCGGACAGAAGTTTTTTTCAGTTGCAAACTGGTTCCAGACGCAACTGGTTTGCAACAGTCGTTGTAAAACAGTCACACCGTGTGCGCTGGGCCTTAACGAGATGGATAGGGGTTGACACTATTAGACTAAGGATCACGGTCAGCCCTGGAAGTCTGAAATATGTTGGTCACCAAGCAAAGTTTCTTCAAATTCAATCTCTATCTTGAAAAACTGATAAAAACCCGCAGCCAGTTCCGATTGTGCAATTTTGTATGACATGTGAAACTAAGCCACTTATGCACATAACTTGTTCCACATTTTATATTTTATATCTAATTTAATATATAAATATAAATGACTGGAAGAAAGATGGTTAGCTATATTCCTTTTGCAAAATATAATTTTGACAAATAATGCATAACCTGATTCCCTTACTTAATTTGTTTTCCAACATAGACTTACACTTATGAACTAATTTTCGTACTGTATATGGTTCCATACTTTTATCTAGAGTTGTCTAAAATCATTACTACACAATAAAATTCAATACTTATTAAAATTATAATCCGATGCAAATTATTGATTATGTCAATCTTCCAGCTCGTGGAAGCAAAGAAAACACCTTCCTATCAGCGTTGGATGATCCGAACACTGGTGGTGGAAAGTGTGACGGAGCCGTGGCTAGGAAGCTATCCTGGGTGGAGGCTCAAGTTGTCTCTTCCGATGAGGAACCTTACATCAGTATATCTGAGGAGTATGAGTACACTGACTTAGACGAGGGAGTTGTTCTTATAGAGAAACGCTACTTGACTAAAGACATCAGGTGAGAGTTGTGGAAGAATGTTTACTGAAATACATCAAACAATCTGCTTTGATATAATGCTCAGTAACTAGAAGGTTGTTGATAGACATTCTAGAGAAAAGATATTAATTAGCTTTTTGATGGTTTAAAACTACTCCTATTCTAGTATGTCGGCCTTATACAAATCTTAACTTATCTAGAAACTACTAAAGAATTTTTTCCCTGTAAGATTTAAGGGAGAGAGAATGCAATCAGCTGATTCTGATTGCATGTTAAATTGTAAGGTTACGGAGTCCTTACTCGGTAGGCCTAAGGTAATTTATGGTGTTTTCATCTAGGACCGCTAAACATTCCTCATTTACTTTAGTAAATTTTGGATTTAGGAAACAACATGTGAACCTTTAATTAGGACTAAAATGTGTATTTTTTTGAATGTCATGTTTTTAGGCGAGGTTTATTATATTGATCAGCTTGTGGGCTTCACACCACGGCGTTTCGCAGGACGTTATTTCTGGTCCCGCAAAACGTAGGAGTAAATCCAAGGACAATTTTTTTAATGTGTGTGTATAATGTGTATGTCTTCGTTGTGTTACATTTTGACGAGTCCTGGTAACAAATTAAGGTGATTGAAGCCGACTAGCTGGTCAACAAAATGTATAGTGTGAACTGTCTCTTTTTAAAGTCCTGTTAAAAACCTGTTAATGACTAAAAGTGTTGCAAATATAAACACTTAATCACAATAGTGTTAACACTGCCAAACATCATTTTAAAAATTGATGTATTTTCCTCTGAAAATCACACACAATTTGTTTACCTTAATTTTTAATCTCAAGTGTGCATTTATATCATGAATAATGAATATGATTACATACAGTTTTTATTTTTTCCATTCTTCATTTCATGACAAACATAACATAAAATTTGAATATTTAATGAATATCTAACCTATCTATTTTTAATTTCTATAATCATTCTATATTCGAAATATAAATTTAGCAGACATTTTTTAGGTACTGTAGTTGTTAGGTTAGTTTTAGATATGATGAATTATCTAAAATTTGTAATGTTGGTGACTAACAGTAGGTCTGTTCAGTACAGAATGCAAAACTTAATATTGGATTGCAATGAGTCATGTTTAGTATCGAGTATCAACATTAGCTTTGGAGGTCAGCTGATCTTACTATCTGTGTGGCACTTCATTATCAGTTTGTGTACTGTACATCACTTTGTGATCAATTAGTTGAGCTGTATATCTGCTGCTGGGTTTGATTCTAGTAAAATAATAACATAGCTTAGTGATTTGGTATCAAACCAGATAATTAACCTAGGTAAGAACACAATAGAAGTCCTTTTCAGTAATCATTGTTACTAAAATCTTCTAGTTTTCATTTTTGGGTTTATTTGGAGATTGTTTTTATAATGGATATGTTCACGCCTTACAGTGGTTTTTACACTTTGCTGTCTTAGACTTATTTTGTTGGAAAATATTTGTTTAAATAATCTCTTACTCTTTTGTAGAAAAATTGTCTTTTTAAATATAAATGTTATAAATGTTTACATAAAAGTTTGATGTTAGCTTTTCAATGACAATTTATTTTTTAAAGGAAAACCAATTGGCTAGTAACAATTTTTTTTTAGAAATAGTGTTTAGCTATCTTACCTTACAAAACGAAAGTCCAGGGACTAATAGAAACATAATAAAAGAGCAAAAGGCATAACAGTGATATTTCATCCTGGTGTAGGCCTTCTTTAGAGAGGAGTCCCTGGACTCTAATTTTAAGTAAGCTAAGGCCAGGCACACACAGGCAATTTTGAGTCGCGCAACAGTTGTCCGACTAATCGGGGGACTGTTGCGCAACCCACTCGGAAACTCTGAAGTCTAGCGACAGTTGAGCTGGAGTGCGCACACAGGCAACTTGTTAGTCGTGAATCTAGTCTTGAGACGTGTCGGACATACATTCGTTACAGCGTTCCACATGGATTTCAATGGTACAGCCGTAGTATGTGCTTTGTTGCTGAAGTTTCACGCGCGAAAGAAAAAGAGAAGATACTGGGTTCATCCCATATAATCCGATATAAAGGTGGCCTCGTCTCAACTTCATCAATTAATTGTTCGACATCCTCATCACGCACACTCATACTTGTAATTTTCTACAAACTTCACACAACAAGAGAGCAAACACTAGTGACAGTTCTGGCCACGAGTAGTTGAACTCCTGGGGTGAGACTGAGCGACACAGCGACAATTTAGTTGCATGTGTGCGCATCTACACTTGTTTCAATGGATACCAAACCTGGAGCAACAGTCCCGCAACAATTCAGTCGCAGAGCAGTTGCTGGCAAAATGGGTCCGGGAACATCGGTTGCAACAGTTGCGCGACTGTCCCTAGACTGTTTCCTTGGTGTGGGCACTCCAATTTAAAACCATGTTGAACATTTTAGTCGGGCAACTGTTGCGCGACTCAAAATCGCCTGTGTGCGCCTGGCCTAACTGAAAGAGGCTTTTTTCAATTATGTCTTTTATCCTCCAAATGTTATCATGTTTTTCTCTTTTCAGTATGTCAGCTTCAGGACCTGATGGTAAAGGTGCAAGAGAAAGCTCTAGTAGTGGTGAGTTATTGTATGGTTTAGGAAATTTTGTGATTTTTTTTGTCAGTTTGATTGTTGAAAATTTTTAACTAAAAAATGTAAGTTATATCTTAAACCGTATAGGCTACAATGCACTATTTAGTAGTAGAGGAGATTGTTTAGTAGTAGTTTACGCAACGATTGTGTAAAGATAGTGTTAACGACACGAGTAGAAATTTAACTAGGCTACTACAAGCGTTGGCGAGTGCCTTTAAAGCTTCCTTGTTAAGACTATTTACACGACTTGCGTACACTACTTTATCTATGACCGATTTTTAATTTCTAACAATCATTACGTATAACTTCTAAGAGAAGTTATGTTTTTGTTTATAACCTCTCATTGCCACTGACAGTGATGCAAAGAAAAATAGTATCAAACACTAATTGCACCGATCATTAACAATTAAATTGGTAAACAGCTCATTAGTCAAAGAATTAAAATTTTACTTCTTTTCTCTCAATCCCTGAGCCTCATTGGTCCGTCACTCGTGTTGTAAGTAAAACAATGCGGTTAAGTAAGTAAACAATGCTGTTAAGTGGATCTTCTTAATTGTAATAACTGAACTGAAACGGCTAGTTTTAAAAACGGTCGTAGGTAAAATATTCAAAGCACACTTCTGATTGGGTGGTGGGCTTAAAATCATGCCAATCAGTAAATACTTCTTTCAAGTAAAACTTAAGCTAGCTTATCTGAAAATTAGAGTCCAGGGGCTAATTGATACTGTAGGCCTACACAAATTAAAAATGACAAACATAACAGTGATGACACTGATATTTCTTCGCCTTAATTTAGGACCTCTTTTTAATCATTAATTTTCTGTAATGGGCCTATCTTTAACAACAGTGCCCAACAAGTCTAGCAGTTGACAGTAATTATAAGTTCTGTTGTAATATCAAACACAACAATGATGCTATATTTCAGAGTGTGAATCGGTGTCGACACTGTCAGGGTCGGAAGGAGCGTACGAGACGGATGACTTGCGGCGAGCCCTCGTGCAGCATGGGTTTGTCCCTGGACCAATCACAGGCAACACAAAGCGTGTGTATCTGCGCAAGCTCAAGCGTTGCCGACGCAAGCCTCAGTCACAACCTTCAGCTGACTCTAGTCTACCAGGTATGGGACATTGTCCCGTTATGTGATTGCAACTGTGAAATAAACTGTATGCTGTCATGTCGTGCTGTTTGATTTGTGTTGAGTGTATTTAAATAGGCAAAAGTAAACAAAAGTCTTGTTATAGGACAGCAGTGACAAGTTCATGTTAAATTTGAAATCTCTTAAGTTTATTTTAGAACTTGTTAGAGTTTTCCTCATTTCTAATAAAGCAAGGGAGGGAATGAATTGGCTAATTCAAATCTAGTTAAGGCTTCCTTTAATTTTTTTTACGTCATTGTATCATGCGTAATTTACCAAATCTTGTAAAAAACTATTAACTGAATCATATTTAGTAGTATTAAACTTAAAAATAAAATAAATATGAAAAACCTGATGATATTAATTTTTAGTAGTGAAAGAGTTAAATATGGTTAAGAGATAAAAAATAAACATAATACACTGTAAACACATAATAAGTTGTTCTTGTCATATACTACTAAGTGTTGAAGGTTACAAAATGAAAATATGAATAAAAGATCTTCCTCCACAAAATACAAATGTTATGGTTTCAAGAGGATGTCTTTCTAGGATGTGATTTAGTCTTAGTCAATTAATTGACCTAAAACCCATCTTAAGTTATTATTTTTACTTAAAATAAGTAGTTGAAGCAACTCACTAGGTGAGGTAGCATTGTCACAACTGAACGCTGCTTGTATCCTAGTCACTCCCGTGTTCTTGTATCTACTTCGCCACTTGTCTCGTGGGCCTTATTGACAGCCAGCGTTTTTCTTCAATTGGTACTTACGTATCATACCGACCACACTGATCGACTTCCAAATAAGATTTTAATTAGTTTAAATAACAAAATCTTAACCTAACCTAAAACATAGTCCACCCTAGGTTAGGTTATAATTGTAAGGTGTGGTCAGTATAATACCTAAGTACCCTTTCATTAATTGAGAGAAGATTGAAGAAGAGAACAGTAATTGATAAACAAACGCGAAAAAATTGATCGAAAAAATAGTAAAGGATCAAATGGTTTCCTATCTTCAAACAAATGGCATCCTCAGCGAGCGTCAGTACGGGTTTCGTAGAGATAAAAATATTTCAGATGCCTTGTTTGATATAAATAGAGAACTTAATCGCGCTATCTCTGATAAAAATCACCCAATGTTAATATTCCTTGACCTTAAAAAAGCCTTTGATTCTGTTGATCGTGCAAAATTATTAATCAAAATGGAATTACTGGGAATAAGAGGCAACGCTCTCAACTGGTTTAAAAGTTATCTTTCAAATAGAACACAGTATGTTTCTATATGTGGTGTGAATAGCAGTAGAATGCCTGTAGACTACGGGGTGGTCCAAGGTTCAACTCTCGGGCCAATTTTATTCTTATTATATATAAATAACATCTCTAAACTAACCATATTTGGTAATATGTTTTTATTTGCTGACGATACCTTAATTTTCCTTCAGGGAAAGACTTGGCCCGAGGTCCGAGATAAGGCTATGCATGATCTTATGATTGTAAAAAGATGGTTGAATCAAAACATTCTTTCGTTAAATGTATCTAAGACCAAATTTATGCCAATTTCTATAAATAAAAGTACTGAATTTAATTTAACTGATTTAATTATTCATAATTGTAATAACTATCAAAGTACTACATGTTTATGCGAAAGCATTGAAAAGGTAGACTCGTACAAATACTTGGGTGTATTTTTTGACGAGCGTTTGAAATGGAATATTCATGTAACTTATCTCAGGAACAAAATTAGGAAATATATTTTTGCTTTTAAACAGATGAATGAAATACTTTCAATAAAAGAATTAAAAATGGCATACTTTGCGTATGTCCAGTCGTTGCTTTCTTTTGGTATCATTGCATGGGGTGGATGTTATAAAAGTATTCTGGAACCTTTAAACGTTGCTCAAAAAACTATATTAAAAGTGGGGTTTGGTAAATGTAAACGATACCCGACTGACGCTCTGTTTGAGGAATTGTCCATTCTCACTATTCGAAAGTTATTCATTAAAAGCTTATTAATAAACATTTTTAAAATTCACACTAATATATTTCAAGGAATAACTCACTCTCACAGTACCCGTTATTCTTCACGAGTAGGTATCTCATCACTTCATTTAAACTATACTTTCTCTAAAACGAACTCTTTCTATATTTCTAATATACTCTATCGAAATATCTGTAAATATTTTACCAATGATAATCTTTTCGAATCACCTTCAATTAATGTGTTCAAACTAAGAATCAAACAATTTCTCTTCAGGCTTGGTATAGACGAGGCCGACGTTATCATCACAGCTGATTACCGGCGTGTTTGACCCGACCCTTGCCCCCTCCACCCTGAGTCAGCATAAATCCTTAGGTATAGGTCTAGATCCCCCCTGATCATAACTGTATTTATTCTAGTTTATCATTATATTTTAACGCATTTATAAATCTCTTTCCCTAAACTAATAACTCTTAAGCAACAGTCATTCATTTATTAATCTCTTTTGTATAATAATTCCATTATGATTTGGTAACCTACTGATAATTATTAAATAGCAACCCAGCAGACGCACAGGCAGCACCTGCCTATGTCTGCTGAATTTCATAAAATCGTCAAATTAATTATTACAGAAATGTTCTTTTTTATTCTTAGCCTTAGTTTATATTTTGTAATTGTGATTATATTTTGTATTAAAAAGTTTGTTTCTTTCTGTATACATTATGTGGAAATAAACGTATATTTCATTCATTCATTCATTCATTTCATTCATTCATTCATTCATTTCATTCATTCATTCATTCATTCATTCATGTATCTCAAAACCCCTGGGCTCTACAGTTTTTACTTAATTCAGTGAAATAGTCCTGTTCTAGGTAAAACCATAAATAAAACAAACTCCCTTAGTAGATTTTTCAATCTTATGGAACAGCTGAAGCCAATTTTATTGTTGGTTCTGTACATCCAACTGTAGATTTTGTGTTTTGTTTACAATTTGTTTCTTGTTATTTCAGTCATTTAAAACCTCATTAGACCAAATAAAACTATATAATTATAAACAATAACTGGTCTCCTAGTTATATAACCAAACAGTGAGACACAAATAATGAGAAACTTACCCTAAAAGAATAGAAACAAATTTTTGTCCACCCCAGCGATCAGAATGGACATAGCCTATATGAACTGAAAACAAGCTTCAAAATTTACAATGGGATGAGGAGTCTACTTGTGTTGCTTAGTCTATGATAAAACTCTCAAGTTAGCCACAGTATTTTCCTAACAACCAATTCCAAATAATCTCTAAATTGACCACTTGTCTGGTCCTAAAATCCAATTCTTTTCATGTTCCCATGGTCACATTCGATCCTATACCTCAGGTTGATGCCTGTTAACGGTTGTGTGGTTTGCAGCGTTCAGCACTGAGCTGCTCAAGACATTGGCTCAGCCGTGCGAACACTTGCTGGCCGAGTGGTCTCACCTCGAGGATTCCATGACTGGTAATAAACAAATTTACACAACTACAATTATACTCTCCGAATTAACATGAATGTATAAATACCAGGGCACATCTTTTGTTGGTTGGATAAATGGAACTTTCCACATCCTCATTAAAGAAAATAAGTTTTATCTTTATCTGTTTGAGTTGATCCGTCACAGAAGTAGGATACAGAGGAAACAAGCTTATGGGACAACCATGCACCTTTAGCTCCGGTAGGTTGGGACGGAGATGTACTAGTATCGAACAAGGAATAGCCTGAACGGTACTGGCCATCTAGCATATTTGTACAGCAGTTGTAGTGAACAGAGTCTTCGTACCGTGTGAGTGCTATAGTATGTGATGGCAAAGGGGGGAGGAGAGCGGAGTGGGACGAGGAATAGAATTTGCTCTAGACACCAGCGACTGGTAGGGACACCACTAAAGTGTAAGATTGAATTTATCTTCTGTTTCTTACTTCTCTGTGGCTTAGTTAGTTGACAATTTCAGTACCGATACACAACACAGGATCTAAAATTGGAGGGGGATTGATTGAAGTATTATAACTAACATGTGTTCTGAAATCAAAATATAAAAAAAAACGAGGCTTATAAGAAAAAGAAAGGCAAAACAAGAAGTTTGTCATTAGATTAATTATTAAATAATTGTACTGAACTCAAAAAGGTTGTGTATTTCTAATTTAACAAAAACTCAATCAAAATATAAAACAATAACACAAAACATATGTAGAACAATTACCATTTATTTGGTTTTCTTCTAATCCTTTCACTTCTTGTTTTGCCTTTCTTTTTCTTATAAGCCTTGTTTTTTTAATATTTTTATTTCAGAACACATGTTAGTTATAATACTTGAATCAATCCCATATAACATCCAATATAATTTTGGAAAGATGGTTTAAGCTCTGGTTTTAAAGATTTTGGGGTGGATAGGATAAACAGCTGGCTTACCCTTATTGCAAAAACAGCTACAAGTACAGTCCTCAACAGCTTGTTAGCCTTTTCTATTGTCTTTACCAGTTCTAGATTCTATATTATCTGTGCTAATTTGTAATTTTACGAGTAAGTGAAGCCTGCTGATCAACCTATCTAGTGAAAAATTCTTGATAATCAAAATTAACTTGGTATTTGTTTTGAAAATTTACAATAGGTTCAACAATTCCTCTACAAAGGTGTTGCATTCCACTGTGTTCTGCCTCATTAATCCCTGGTATTCATAGCAAAGAGTAAGAATAGAATATTGGTTTTATTACCTATCTAATTCATTTTTTGTAAGGTCCACATAGTTTTTTCCCGTAAAACATGTTTAGAAGATCCTTACAGAATGCCCTGTCAAGATTGTAAAAAATTAGCTCTAATTGCTTCAACAGTTTTGTCCTTATCTGTTCAGCCTCCTTCACCTGTGCTCGACGTCCGTGGCGTGAAGGACAAGCAAAGACATCATTCACCTACCTACTACTAGATCCTCGGGTCTCACACAACCTGCCTGCCCGTGCGGCCACTGACCCTACCCTCACACACACACTCTGGGGAGAGTTCCTGCGTAGCGTGTTCTACGTGGGGAAGGGGAAGAGATCTCGTCCATACTCTCATCTGTACCAAGCAGTGGCTGCATGGCAGCAGAAGGAGTACAAGGGCTCTTGTAAAAAGGTGAGTTAATGACTTTCCATTTCAAAGGAACGGGGCAAAAGTCATTCCTGACCTATTTTCGAGACAAAGGTTGTAGTCAGAAAATTAAAGACAATCTTGCCAAGATCATGGAATACGATTGAGTTATCTAAGATATAGGGCTGCACTCTGAATTTTGACCAATGTGTACATTCACCTTTAACAATGTTAAGAGGTGAAATTCACAAATTTGTACACATATTTAAAATAAAACCAAACACAACATTTTAACCGCCTCTTAGGTTGGTCATAAGATAACAAATTGTAAATTGGCCTGATTAGCCCACTTTTTACAGATTCAACGAATCTTAGACATTTGGAGGTCCGGAGATGGTGTGATCTGTCTTCATATCTTCTTGAACGTAATTCGTGTAGAGGCCTTCACCCGTGAAGCTGCTATGATCTGTGCCTTGACGCTCCCACAGCTCACCAACGAACAGGTGAGGATTGATGTTTTAGTTGTTGGAAATTAAATATCTGGAATCATTAAAATCCATTGCCATAGGCCCAGAACTGCATTAATGACAATGGGTTTTACAGTTACCAGTCAGCAGTTCAATATTGGTAAGACCCAAATAACTCAATAACTTATTCGGCAAAATTGACAATAAGCCTACAAATTAGCCAAGCAAGAATACTGTAACATGTTGAAACTAAATACATGATATGTCTTGAATCAAATATAATATAACAATAAAACTAAAATTTATTGAGACTGTCCGTTAGCAACATAATTTATGATTGGTCACTGTAGTACCATTTTCTCATAATATAAGTGAGGAATTTAAAGTGTTATTAGCAGGCATTCTGTGTCTGATATTGACTTTGTTTGATGGGGAAGAGCATTGAAAACTTTAAAAGCAGTGATATGTTTTTAAAAGAAGCTGATTGAATGTGATAGTATTTGTATAAGGTAGTTAGTTATTAAGAGCCAATTTATATGAGCGGGCAGTTAGTCTGAAAATGAGAAAGATTTTACTCTAAAAAGTGAGTTACTCTCAGATTTGTATAAGGAAAAATCTAAATGTCTGATGATCTAACACATCCTACAAAACGTGTCCTAGGTGAGGTCATTGATAATTCTAATAGCATAAAAAACAGTAGAATCAAATTAAAAATTCAATGTCAAATGGCCACCATTGGTTCTGTTCAGCACTACAAATTTATATACTATATTACTTACTTTTGAACACATTCTTTTCCCTAATCTAAGTCTGAAGATCTTTGTAATCCTTACTTCTCTTTATCTAGCCTCATTGTTTGTAGGTTGGGAAGTTCTACGGTTCAGCCGCAAGTTGGAATGAGAGACTCAAACGTCGGCTTGGCTGTGTTTTGTTGCATCGAGCGTTTAAAGTTTTCTTGGCGGAAGGCGAGAGACAACTTCGACCAGCTGATATAGACTAAGACTTTATTAGAACCTAAGGCGTTCATCTTTTACTACCATTAGTTTTTACAGTAAAATAAGGAGAAGAAGTTATCTAAAAAAATGTGAACAGCCATGATGTTTTTGCAAATTGGAAATATAGAGAAGCTTACAATTTTTAGAGGTGAAACAAACTACACCTACACATTCATAAAAACGTTTTAGGAATACGAATGGTGACACCATGAGGAATATTACCTAATTCTTCGTCTGGTTTTCCTAACTATGAAACATACTAGTTTCTATACTTTTTTGGATAATTTTAGTTGAAATATAGGCTATGCAATTTGATGGGTGCATTTTCAGTTTTGGTTCCCATCGGTTTTGTGTGATTTAAAGTGTTTTTTATAACCTGTATGCCTCATATCTGTTGGTATATAAATATAAAGTTAAGTGGTCTCCACCCAGAAACAGATAATTACATTATCAAACCTTGACAAAATTGAAATATTTGTAAAGCTTTTCTACTTACGACACCTATTAAAAATTAAGTGTTTTTAGTAACTAGTAAACATAAAATTGTAGCCCTATAGCGTTTAATAGATGTCAAACATTCTACTGAATAATTATAGTCAAAAGATTTAATCTCCGCTCAGTATTATGTTGAACTATTGAATAGTTTTTAAGACTGATATCAAACTATGAAAATAGTTTAACTGTCTCTTAGTTTAAAGTTAGGATTTTTTAGTGTGCTAACAAGACATGGATGCCATACAGAAAATTAATCGATGAAAATTGAGGTGAATTTGTTAAGCTAGAGGAATTAATTAAAGGTTCTTAGTTCTCTAGTTGAGTGAAAATTTAAAAACGTACGTTTTCATGTCCCTGGCCTTTTACTTCGTAGATACTGGATTTGTAGTTTATTATTATGTAATTTAATATTTTTTGGGACGGGGGCAACATGTTACACACATTTATTTGGTTTTAAATAGGTTCTAGGTATTTTTTTCGTATTTTTAAAGTCTCGAAATTCACGACCATGACGTGTCCCTAGGGTACATTTTCCAATTTTCACGCTGTTTTTAGACTAATTATTCATGCCGAAATATATAAAGCCATATTTTAAAGTCATCAATGGTTATTAAACTTACAAAAAAGGAGCATATTATAATTTTATTGTCATTGCAAACTGACTACCATGACAAAATAAGTCTGTCCCTCGATTTGGCGTCACGACCATTTGGGAAAAATTTTCAACTTTGGAGCACGACAGTGGCAAGCCTGGCGTCGATGGAGTCAGTTGGTTTTAGAGACTAGTTCGGGGTGTACGTCAGGATTGTAGTGCCGGTCGTTTCGATATGAAAGGAGGAATTACAAGATTAATAAAGGAAAGATTGTGTTTTTTGTAATTTTGGTGTGTCCATGACCGTACGTAGTCATTCGATGAAGTAGACATGGTGTTAATTTTTGTTTATAAGATATTTCAATTGCTAGATTAACCTAGAAGTCCACTTTGTATCCTCGAACATGAGGTGCAGGGCTACCGCCAGAACAGAGCCAAATAACATGTAATTTCACGACCAAAGTTTCACGACCATCGCAGGTTTTTTCACGACCAATCCAGCCTTATGGATTATAGTGTGTTTGGTCGTGACAATAACTTTAATATAATTGTAATTTGAACAGTTTAGTTCAATTGAAACACATATTTTTATTATAACTAACAGTATAATTGAAGGATTGTTTAGAAATATTTAGATTATTTCAGAAAATTCACGACCGTACCGCTTGTCCCTGACCACCACGTTTATGATTTCTATCATAAAAATTTCAAAAATTAAAATATCGTCATATTTCAATGTTTTATACACAAAAGAAGCACACCTCTATACAAACATAACGATTTTTCGGGTCTCAGGTAAGTTTTTTCGGAGTTATACAAACTTAAAAAGATTTTATTGGCTTTTTTTCAATTTTTTGAGTTTTTTTATTTTTTCTAGAAAGACCAAATATACCAAAAGCTCAGTGACCTTTTTATTGTATAATGGTCATAAAAGTAAATTAGTTTATAGCAAAACATAGTTATAAAAATAATATTAACTATTTTTAATATTCATTTAAGCGTCTGTTATGGTCGTGACAGGATTTTGTGTTTTTCCACTAAAGATGCTCTATTAAAAAAAAACTACCAACGATATTGCGTTACCATGGACATTTTATGAAACTTCAAATGTTAATGAAATAAAAATAATAATAAAAGTTTTGAAAAAAAGGGAAAAAAATTTGCAAAGTGCTTTTCCTGAAAACGTACGTTTTTAAATTTTCACTCAGTTGCATTTTAAAAGAAATTGCTAAGTACTTTCCTCTTTAGTTTTCTTCCTTTATGGTCTTGACTCTGTATAGTTTACTATATACATTTGAACTAAGAGCACAGTAACTGTTATTTGCTCATTCATTACCTTTGATAGCTACTTAAATGCTATAGATATATTTATATATAAAAAAGACGTATTATATTTATATTGTTGAGATTTCAGATTCTTTATATCTGAGTTATATTCTGTAAGTATTTGTGACCAAAGACATCTTTCAAATACACGAAGCTTTCAATCTACTTGTTGATTATTTAACCACCCCCCCCCCCTCCCATTTCAAAATAAAGGTATCAGCAATCTGACACACACTTTCTCCCATTAGCTTGGTTTTCTGGTAATAGCTAGCACTTAATGAGGGAAAAACACAAGGAATATTGTTTAGCCTAAGCAAGAAAGTACTTGAGGGTAACACAGTAAAGTTGTTGGGATTCACTTTGGACTCTGAACTTGGGTGGAGTGATCACATCGATGCCCTTTGCGTAAAACTTAGTAGAGCAACTCATCTGCTTAGGAGGCTCATGTGTGAAGTTCCCCTTAATTTTGTGAGACTTGATTTCTTCTCTTTTTTCCAGTCCCACATTTTTAATGGGATAAGGCTCTGGGGTCACTCCCCTCATGTTCGGAGAATCCTGATAAGGCAAAAAAAGGCAGTGCGAGTGATATGTGGGCCACACTATCATGCACACTGTACATTTGCGGATTATTACAGTCATTAATGTGTATATTTATCAATGTCTAATTGCCATCACGTCTGAGGAGTCTAGCTTTGTTTTAAACAAGGAGGTACACACACATGACACAAGAAGCTACAATAGCATACATCTGACTAGTCATAGTCTAAGTTTGCCTCAGAAATGTTTTCCTTTTTCAGGTATAAAGTTTTTTAACAGCCTACCGCTTGAAGTACGGTCCTTCAATAGATAGAAATATGCAATTTGCGGGAATCATCTATTGACGTAGGGGGGCCAGTTTTTTTTTAATTCAACGTTACATTCACATTCCCCCCCTTTCCCCCCTGCCCCCAACTTAATTTTTTTTTTAATAGCAAGCTACCCCTTGTGACATATCAAACGAAAGAGCATGAAAAAAGAAAATGTTTGGTTTCATTTGATAACAAGGGGTACCTTGCTATTAAAAAAGTTATGGGTAGGGGAAAAGGGGGGGGATTATCTCACAAATTCATGAGCCGATTTTCAATTTTTTTCACCAAACATTTTCTTTTTTCATGCTCTTTCATTTGCTATGTCACAAGGGGTAGCTTGCTATTAAAAAAAATTAAGTTCCGGGGAGGGAGGGGGGGAATATCTCACAAATTTATCAACCAATTTTCATTTTTTTGTCATCAAACATTTCCTTTTTTCATGCTCTTTCATTTGATATGTCACAAGGGGTACCTTGCTATTTAAAAAAAAATTAAGTTGGGGGCAGGGGGGGGATGTGAATGTAACGTTGAATTTAAAAAAAAACTGGCCCCCCTACGTCAATAGATGATTCCCGCAAATTGCATATTTCTATCTATTGTGGTTTTTACATAAATAAAGATGCAAGTTAAAAAAAAAACACCCTGTATTAGTACTGTAGGTATACACGCTACAGAAGGAGAAGGTACCTCCCTCGAAACTTTACTACTGAGTATGTCAGTCAATAATAGTGTAAATGATTCTTCACTGGTGTACTTGTGTTAAAATACACACCCTGCAAGTGCTATCGCTGGCTTAGAGTTGATTGATTGTCGTTGATTAATTTAGAACCTGCAATTTATTTGAACCTCTGACTGACTCTAAATCAGAATACGACTTTTGCATTGTTATATGCTGTTAAAATGGGAGAAGTTACTACAAGTTAAAATACCTACAGTCTAATATCTTTACCAACCTAATATTCTTAACATTGTTCGTTTCTCTGCTCATTTGTAGGTGTAGCCTAAACAAGAATAACATTAGGTACTTTATGTGTTTTTTTTATTAATTTAAGATAAATTTGTTTAGATTTATACCACATTGACAACAAAATAAATAATTTATATATAGGTATTCTTTTCTTTTCTGTTGCTAGAGCGTAATATGGTAATATGTTTTGTAGCTTAATCAAACCGAACCAAAACAGAAAACGCCTAACATCCATTAACCATTCAGTGATTAACCTCAGTAAAAAAAAAACAATTAAACAATACTGCATCTGACGTACAGTACCGTAGTTCAGGATAGGAAATCCCCCGAAACGGCACACGGAAGATTTCTCAGGTGCCGTTTGACGTCACTAACTGCTGACGTCACTTTGAGGGAACACCAATACCGCAACGGGAGCGCGGCAGTGGTCCGAAAGTCAGTACTCCGAAAGGCACTGGTCCGAAAGAAATTACATGGTCAGGCACTGCTTCGAATGGTATAAGTTCGAAAGGCACTGGTTCGAAAGTCACAACTCCGAAAGTCACTAGTCAGAAACATTTTGTGCATCCAGGCACTGGTCCGAAACAATATGTGCATCCAGGCACTGCTCCGAAAGTTATAACACCGAAAGTCACTAGTCAGAAAAGAATGCAGGGGTCAGGCGCTGGTCCGAAAGAATGTGCGTGGTCAGGCACTGCTTCGAAACGTGGTTCCCCCTCGCAGCGAATGGGAGGAGCTATACAGGTGTGGAGTGAGAGCAGCCTCCCGCCCCCCTACCTCTTGACACGCCCCTACTTTTTTTGGCGCGGCGACGACAGTGTCGGTTAGTCACTTCTCACTTCACTCAATCACTCTACGTTACCACCAGGACTAGGGGGAGTTGACATCGGGGATACTCCCCAGGATATATTTTCCTTAACAATCGCTAATGTTTTTAGTGAAGGAATTATTCCATATAAAAAAGTGTAACAACCTTGATAAAATTGTACTTAAGGGTGCGCTCTACATCAGCTCGTATTTCTCAATACGTAGTTGCTTAACACCGATGTTCCTATAGCTACCATTGCATTGAACAGCGCCATGAAGAGCGCTTGCAATCCTTTCGAATCTGGGTCATTACTTCGTCCTTAAACCTTTTAATAAACTAACTGCAGATTCTTGTTTTTCTCTAAAAATTATTTGTATGTGTTAAAGCTTATCATTGAAAAACACGTAGCCTACGGAATTTTAACATTTTTACCAATCTTTGAGTCCAAAATAAGCTGAAAACCTACAATAACATTGACGAAATATATGACACCAAGATCTTAGTTCACCAAAAAATAGTTCTGTTCTAAAATAAAATCATTATAAATTATTATAAAATCAAACTGTCATATAACCTAACCAAACTTGCTGATAAAGGAAAAATCGAATGAAGGTTTACTAATAGAAAAATCATTCTGTTCATAGAATAAAATTATAAATTCCTTAAATTCCAACAAAAGATGTACGGTTAAGAAGTATTCTAAGCTAAATCTTTGATTAAAAGTTATAGAAAACAGCGTGAATCGAACCGGCAACCATAAAATCATCAGCCAGGTATGCTATCCACTACGCCACCGAGGCTCATAGCCGTGCTCCGTATCGTTGCGGTAACGGTGTTCCCCCAAGAAAGAGACTGATGTCACACCCATACAGCACACTTTCTCCTCAGGACATCCCACGGGTAATGCGAACAGGATATGCAAGATATCCCATAGTAGTCCTATGGTCAACCTGGGATAGCCCAGGATATCCGCAGGAATGCGTAATGTCCCCGCCCGGGGATGCTCGATCGATACTCCCAAAAGATTATAGTGATGCACCCTGTTGGTAAACCTTATAACTTTTTATTGCTATTGCATGTCATAGAACCAACTTATTAGTTAAGTGGCAAAGTAGTAAGTGGCTCTCTTCAAGCCGCTTACTACTGATCCAGGCATTGCTGCTACCTTTGGGTGTTTCAGGGTACTACGTCCAATCTCCGGGTAACGTAGTACAATCACCGCTGCTCTTTTTTTATTCATCAGATTGAAATATTTCAATGCCAATTGCGTTCGCTACGGTGCCGCACCGGCACACATTTCACCTGCATGTGTGTAAGTTGATTTATGCTTTTGATTCGGCTGTAGATAATTATTAAAAGAAATAATTAAGAGAACTGTTCCCGGTTGGGTGTATATCGTAAATGCAAATGCAATTATCTGCTTGCAATATTGAGTGGGCAAGCATTTTAATCCATTCCGAAGTCAATGCTACATCTGTGCAGGAGGATCATAAGTCAAGTGTTAAATGTAGGGTCTGACTTACGGGAAGTATAAGTGAGGCAACGATGGCGTCATAGTTTAGTTCAAAATTCCTCCGTGAACAGTGTTGTAGTAGAGAACACAGCGCGTAATTTTTACTTCACTATTAGTCAATTATAAAATTAAGAAAACTTATAAAATTAAGCTTAAATTTTTTCTGTTATTGAATTGAACTGTCATAACCTAACCAAAATAACCAAACGTGCTGATAATGAAAAAATCTAATAAAGGTTTACTAATCTAAAAATTAGTTTTGTTCATAAAATAAAATTATAAACGTCTAAAATTCAATTTTATATATTTTTAATTATGAAATTAAACTGTCATAACTTAACCAATCCAACCAAACTTGCTGATATGAAAACTAATTTTAATAAAATGTTGGTGCTGCCAGCGGGATTCGAACCCGGCACCTGCAGATTTACTGCCCGAAATGTTATCCACTACACCACCGAGGCCGATGGATGGAGTCCGTATCGTTGCGGCAATAGTGTTCCCATTACCGCGTATTCCCGTATTAAAAATACTGGCGGACAGTACGAAAATGTACAATAGATTATGATTAATAACAATACTGTTGGTATGGCGCTTAAATGCCACCTACAAGTCCACCTAACACTTCCAAGAGGGTCGTGGCATTACCACGTAGATAAACTCCATTTGTTATTGGTGGGATTTGAACCCGTGCTATAAGACTCCGGAGCCCCAGGTCTTACCATTAGACCATCTCGCTCCCCAGTAGACATCTAACTAAACATTTTAATAAAATGTTATCCTGGATGTTTTTCTTAACTAAAAAAATTACAAGCGTAATTTATCATCAAAGGCTTCTTTGTAATTAAGAGTTATAAAACTAAACCATACTGTCACAAACCTAATGCAATTTAAAAGGTTTTGCATGTACTACATGAAACACGTAGCCTACATTTTTACGGGAGGCCTTCTTTTAGGCAACCTTTCATCTAGGTACCATTTCACTTAAATCACATATCAAGTTGGTACCGACAACTCAAATCGGTCAGCTAGGTCCCGGCCCCTCCCTTCTGGGGAAAGGGCGTGGCTTCGCCGTGGTCACGTGTTTCGCGGTGCGGTCGCTTACCCTCTACACTTCTGAAAATTCCCGCGACTTCTTTGAATTACCTCTACTCCACCCAAATTTCAGCCTTCCTTCGTCTCGTTTCGTGTTCTGGTCGCACAATTTGTTTTTCAGGATTCACTTTGCCAACCGGGTCATTTGGAGGCTTCTGATTGGCTGGAGGTTTTGACGTCACTGTCTCGAAGTCGTCTGTTGTTGTTGTAGTCTCGATTCGGGCAAAATATCACAAAAGGAGCGAGCGACTAATGACGTCGTCATCGATGATACTTAGTGCAAATGCTATAGCTCTGCTTCTATGGGTATTCACATAAAATAAATAGGTACCTGTTGAAGTAGAGAGTTTTAGCTTGAAATAATTATTAGCATACAATAAAATGGATAATTTAGGTTATCAATGGGAGCTAAAAAGCAAGTTCAAACGTCTTTATGTTGATGATGATCCATAGTCAACTTAAGCAAATTTATTTCACAGTTAAATTAAATTTTATATAATTGCCAATAATAAATCAGTGTAGTTTAAATCTACTGTAAAAAATCTTGCTTCAAATATTTAAGTTAGTCTTACAAATGAAGAATTTTAGTAGTGGTTCTGAGTAACATTAGGCCTACTATCTGATAGACTTTACTTAGTATTGTAAAACATGTTATTTGATCAAGCAGGTACATGTATCCAGACATAAAAAGATTTGCATCTATTATTGAGTTCGGTAGTTAAAGTTACTGGGTTGAATAGGTATAGTATTGGTGTATTGTTAAACAATCAATGAATGAAAATCTTTATGAAACTGTTTCCCTGCTGAACAACATGGTGAACAAGTATTTTTTAAGTTTTTTTTGTATATAAGGAATGTTTTTCTTGTAAATTAATGTTGAAAAGGAATTATGTGATGGTCACTTTATGTGTTAGGGCTATTCTCAATTAATTTACCCTATGGTTTGATATTTCGATAATTCGACACTCCGTCCACAAAGTGTCAAACTATCAAGGTTTTACTGTACAACTATAACAAAACCACAAAAAAATAAAATTTAGTTCTAATGTTTTTTTGACGACGAATGATTCCTGTCCACAGATTCTTGGAGAGAGTGAGGGACTTTGCCTGGTCGACTATTCTTTTTTTTTGAGTAGCCATGTTCGGAAGTGAAGTTAACCTTGGCAGGTCTTCCACTCTGTAGACATCTTCGCCCTGAAAAATATGTCATTGACTGTAGGTTAAGCGAATCCTAACAAGATATACACAGGCCACATGATTAGATTATGCCATACTTGTAGATTAAGCCATAAAACCATATGATTTGATCAATAAGATTTATTATTAATATTTGTCGACATTACCTACTGTTGAAAACACACAAAATACAAAACATGTTCAAAGTAGAAAAATGATGAAAAGTTTAAAATGAGAAAATTTTCTTTATTTTTCATGACGTTTGCTAGTCAAGAGCTTCCTTTCAAGTTCAATTCTTCAAATCTTGTTAAGGGGGGTCAAATATCTCTTACAATTAATTTTCCCACAAAACACGTCCAAAATGGGAAAAAATTAAAATGAGAAAACTACATCCCAAATTAAGAATTGTGTATTTCTTTTACGTTTTCTCGTCAAGAGCCCTAAGTATAAGTCTGAGAGGTGTCCGATATCGGGACGTGACAAACAATTAGAATGTCAGTGTCCCATCCAGCTTTATTTAAGTAGATGTTGAGTCTTTAACACAATTTTCAGTTCAGTATTAGTTTTGCTTAAACCAGTCTATCGATAGGCTTTTGGTTAGGTTAGGTTTGGTAAGTTTCGTTTTAGTTTCCAGAAATCTTACCTTACAGCCTCACATTTTCCAGAAAACTCACCTTTGGTAGTAAACTTCCTTCTTGCTACAGCAGTAGGCTGCACCGGAATGGTTGTCTTGTACTTCTTGCATGTCAGTGGCGAGTATGTAGGCTTTCCAAATTGATGAAAGGCTGACAGTAATGAAGATTCATTTTTCATATTTTTTAAAGCAGAGTGAAAGGAAGATAGCGCTTTAGAAAATAGGTTTGGATTTTTTAGGGCTCTTAATGTTATTAAATCAGATATTTCTTCAACTTGTTTCCCTACTTCTATACTGCAAGGGACCTCTCCAGTATCTTCCATAATAATACCAGCAGGTTTGAAGTTGGAGGGTGAACCTTCTTCTGGGAGTTCACAAGTAGGAGATGAGGTGGTTGATGGTAAATCAACACAATCTTTTGTTGACAAAGGTGCATACCAATCATGGGTATCTGGTTGGTACCTGTTGCTATAAAGTGAAAAAAACACTTCTCCTTTTCTGTGGTAGGGACAATGTTACCAGAAGAAACATTGCACGTAACTGCAACAAAATGCTGGTGTTTGCAGGGAGCGCCGTTTCTTCCTATTTCACATGTGCAAACACCAACATCGATATTTACTTCATAAGAGTGGTCAGTATCCATGTTTTTCACTGTAAAAAGACTTGAATTTCCAGTTAATATTTTGAGAGATTTTAATTTTCCTTCTTTCGGTACATATCGTGTTTGGGGAACAGATTGATACCTTCCACAAACGATATCAAATATCTTCTGTTTATAAAAATCAGGTAAGGTGAAACAAAGATAGCTTAAAAGCTGAGTAAGGTTGAATGCTCTTGTTCTACATAACACCTTGTCTTTTAGCACACCCATTGCTCTTTCCACAATGTTATTTGTGTGGTTTCCTCGACTTGCAGGTCTATTAGCATGTACCCATTTTTCTGTATACCCACACATTTTTTTAACGTATGCTTGAAACAGAGGGTATTTGCTAGCCACACTTCCATCCAGAGCTGAGATAGACCTTGACAAGTCTTCATCATTTTTGGAAATTAAAATTATACAATATAAAACAACACATATTAGAATATATAACTTTAATCGCAGTCAACCTATTGTATGCACGGCCAGGGGCCCATTTCATAATAAACTACAAGTTACAAGTTACAACTTGTAACTTGTAATTTCCATTAGATTTGCATTGGGCGATCAGCTGATTTACTAATAATATTAGTTTGTACTTTATTATGAAATGGACCCCAGGAGCGTATTAACAATCGCGTGCACGGCTTGAGGAACTGACATATCTGCGTCGAGTCCCCCTTTGTGGTGGGGGAAGGTTGCTGAGACGGCACGCTTTTTATCTCAAATCTCCTATCTACCCGGTGTTCCAGTTGTGTTATATAGTTCGATGGGTTACATGGTACACATTAAATTCATAATGATTTGCCTATTCCGGTAGACTGGCTTTTTCGTAGGACTACGCTTCATTGCTCTTTACAATTTCAAGAGATCTATTGTTCAAGGCGTCAATGGGCAACTAACCTAAGTTTATCGCCATTCTACCGCATTATAACCCACCCTACAGGGCCCGGATTTTGTAGGTAGCAAATGCGCAACTAACCTACCGCCAGGGCAACGGCCATCAAAACATTTTTATATGTGATAATAAACCTTGTAGGTTAGTCTAAACTTAGTTGATACTACTAACAAAATAACTTAGCCATCTTAAAGGCATCAAGTAATTAAGTAGGCCCATTTTATTGGTCGTTGAATAATCACTGATTACTATAGACTTCGTCTGAGACACATTAACTCACGGTATATAGGCTACTTGATCAATAGCGATATAGGCCTATTATCACAGTCACATTTTTTATGCATAGCCTATCAAATATATAGGCTCTATCACGGACGTTAAAATAAATAATAAGTATAGTTGTGCAGTTAAATAGATCAGGGGTAATAGTACTTGTTGTAATATGTAGTTCTACTTCATCAAATCCATTTCAATGCATCAAGCAAAAGAGCTGTAACCCCATGAATAGCCTAGGCTAGTCTAATAATATTTTAAGACATTTTTATTTTATGATATTAAAAACATTAGGCTACACTAAGCTAATGAAATCTTCCCATAAACTTAGCCTACTCGGCTTTTAATTTTTGCTTCGATTTTGACTGCCCTACCCGTCAATGAGGTTAAGGGTATTAGGCCTAACCTATACAAAATCCTGCCTTAATCTGAATGGGAAAACATTATTATTTGCAGATGATACAACGATGCTGTCCAGAACCTTTAGGATTATTACAGTTGTGTGGCATTTGGATCATTGCCGGCCAATCTTAAAGGATCTTAAGCTACGTTTCCATTCCTGAAAATTTGTGCCGGCACAAATCTCCGAATTTGTAGGAATGGAAACATCCTGGCTCAAGTCGCAGCACAAATTTGTGCCCGCCGACTGCGCGACAAAACATGTGCCCGAGCCGCGGGCACATGTGCCTGCAACTCGCGCATGCGCAGGTCCTCCAAACTACCGCATGCTCATAAATGACAGGTAATCATAACCTCAAATTTCGTTGAGTCCGTTGGAGGAAATTTTCAAAGCCACTTTGTACGCGCAAATCTCTCATCAATTGATTAAATGCACCTTCCAATGCTCTTTTAGCCAAAAAAAACTTTTTATCCACTATCTAGGTAGTTTTCTTCTAAGTTCATTGTATGCACCAGCCATAAATAAAAAAGCAGAGGCTGTTATGTCATCCATGGTGATTTGTAGAACACAATATAATCAAAATCAGCCACCGAACCTCACCGCATCACAATAAAAGAGAACACTGCCTTGTCTGCCAGTTGTAGTCGCGGGACTTGTGCCTGGAATGGAAACGGCATGACAAACTACGTGCGACATGTGCCTCGTCATGATCTCGACATGTGCCTCGACTTGTGCCTGCGACTTGTAGGAATGGAAATGTAGCTTAAGGGTACTCACGGCGTAGTGCTTGATATCCTGACCCTAGAAAAGATGACGTGCAGTCAGTGGTGGATCTAGAACAGTTACAAGGAGGGGGGGACCAGGGTTTCTGAGAGGTTCGGGGGTACCCCCTCCCTCCCCAAAAATTTGTTTAAACTAAGTCTTCAAAAATGGCAGTTTTATACCATTTATTTGCCCTAAGTTAGTGTGACAAATTATTTTACGCAATTTGTATGCACTACTGTATTACATGCAGTCAAAAATATATGACATATATTTCCTGCCCCCCCCCTCTGGATCCGCCACTGGGGTGCAGGAGTACTATACCAGAAGAGCACAAAATATAGACTTTTCCTGCTGTCGTCTCAAACGTACCTAGAATAGCTATCCTCGTTCTACTATTAACTACAACTCATAACTGCCTACTCATTTGCAGGAGATGGATGCACCCTCCTTCAGAAGGCGCTGAAAGGAATACTAATTATAGGCCGCTGTACTCCGTAAAAGAACTTAAGGAAGAGCACCTAGTGAGATAAGTGTATGTCTGCCATATCATCCGTTAAACAGCCAGATTTTTGAAGGTATAGTTTATTGTAAATATTATATATAGAGTTATTTATTAAATCACTTAATAATTTACTAGCTTCTGTGCCCGTTCTTCACAACGGGAAGTTGAACTATACCGCCTAATCCAAACAGTTGTTAAGTAGTCCGAATTTATGAACAAAAGCCACCAAATGTTGGCCTACTGTATAAAAACAATTATGACCAACATTGTAATTGCCCTACTGTTTACGTTAAAATATATCAATAAAATAATATTCATTTTCATATTTGAGTTGTTTTGTCTCAAGATCAATTAACCAACTATAAAAGGTATAAAATTACCTCAGTACTGCCAGATTGATCCTGTTTAGTCCTTATAGATTACGGGTTTTAAGGACCTAAGTCCTCATCATGAGATCTTGTACAAGAACATTTAACACTGTAACTTCGAAAGGGTCATCAAGAGTTTAAATGCGAAACTTGGACATATACTATTTACAGTCAGACGTTTTATGAACAAAACGAGTAGGCTTACTGACAAAAACTTACAATGTCCAACCCCAACCTTGTGCGCACAGTTGCAGATGAGGGTCATACTGCGATGCGGAAGATGGTTTGGCAGTGGACTTTGTATAGCTCGGCTTCTTGTTCATCAGCTGTTCTTGTTTTTTTATTAGAGTATCATACAGAGCGTTAGACTGTAAACTGATTTTGTCGTTTAATAATGTGTTAGCTTGAATTTTGATTGTTTTATAAATTTCAAATTCTTTTAAAGCATCCATTCCTGTATATTGCTTTTACAATCAAAATAAACTATGCCATGGCTCGGTCCCCAGGTACTTATTTCAATTCAGGAAATTAAAGCCTTTACAACTATTATTCAACAAAAACTTCTTTGCACTAACTTGATCAGGGAAATATAGGCCTAGACAAAATATAAAAGGTTTAATTTACCTGTTGCTGATCCTGTTAAAACTGTTAACAGGGGCAGGCCAAGACCATAAAGCACTTCATCCAAAAATAAAATTATTGCGCACCCCATACAGTTGTTTTCTTGAAGTTACAAGTTAAGGTGTTCTTCTAGCAAGAAGAATAACTCTTGGTAATGTAGCAAGAGGTTAACATGTGTCTTTAACAAGCAATGAAAGCCCCTCAAAGATCGAGTTTGTGTCGCACGTTTGTAGGCGGAATAAACCAGTTAAAAACTTTTAGTTAAGGGTACCTATGGTAATTTATTGTAAAATAAGACCTTTTTATTTGAAACTACCAACTACACCAACCCGCATAATTTGGCACCCCTGAGTATTTTAAAATTGTGACTTTCTTTACCAAGATTAAAATGTTTGTTTCAGGAAGAAAGATCTAGCCCCAGCTCTGGACAAAAATATTATGGAGAAGGTTGGCCGCTGTACAGGGCAGCTATAGTTATTATTATATGTTGCCTTTTATTGTTATATACTGTTTTTATACTTTACCAATAAACCTTATATTTATCTATAGCAGTTAATTTTGTTAAAATTCTTACCAGTAAACTTCTCTGTAATTTGTAAAGAAAACATGTAAAAATGATTATATATTTTATTTTGATCTTCCAACTATTTTGACAGTTTTATAGATAAAATATTCTTTTTTTTTTAGATATATTTTTTTATTGTTCTTGTTCGTACATGTCTCAGATAACTATACATAAAGATAAAATTATATTTATATTTATATTATATATGCGAGTGCCAATCTTAAGAAGCAAAGTTAATATATAGCTAGTAAAATAAAATAATTTTGGTATTTATTGACTAATGAGTGTACTGTAAAAATAAAATAAGTAATTCAAAAGTT